GGGGGGGGAGGTCACGGGCCAGCAACTTATACACGCGATCCACCGGCTCTATAGCCGGCGGATCGCTTGTATGTTAACGGGCATTGCTGCCTGTTTTTAAATTGCCGTCGTTTCCCGCGGGGCTAACACGGCCTGTTACATCCAGGAAGCTCCCAGCCTGCCGTATATGTACAACGGGTGACCGGGAAGCAGTTAAAGCAGAACTCCAGTAAAAACTTTTATTAACCTTTGCAGTGGGGCTAACCCCGCACTGCAAGGGTTAACTGCTTGTTTTTGCCTAGGGTAAAAAAAAAAGTTATACCCACCCATTTATCTGAGCCGGCTGGCTCTTAGACTGATCCCTGAAGCCTCTCTCCCCCTCCGCTACAGGGTCTAAGAATCCTCGAGTCATCACGTCCTATACACTGTATAGGACATGAGGACACTGAGGGACATACCCTCACTGCAACAGAGGAGAAGACAGGAAGAGGGAGCGCTGTGGCAGCTAGCCGACAAAGGTGTTCGGTTGAGTATAACTAGGCAAAAGTGAGCAGTTAACCCTTGCAGTGCAGGGGTAGCCCCACTGCAAGGGTTAATAAAAGTATTAACTGGAGTTGTTCTTTCAAAATGTTTTAGACAAGGTCAGATAAAACACTCAGTTGAACATTTATTTTTATTTTGCAGACTAAAAAAATCCACTATATACTACAGCATACCTAAAAATAATGTATTTTAAAAAATGCCTTACCTTTTAGATGTTTGGAGGCCTTTCTGCAGATTGCAAGCTATCCTGAACAGTTTAAAAGGTAGTCTGTCCCCATAGAAAGACTAGGGACACTATGATTTTCCTCTACAATACCATGCTTCTAGTTCTTTAATCCTTTGTTAAGACAGACGGTGTTCAAATCTGGTTTACAACTGACAATGAGATCTGCCAACACAGTACAGACAGGGTTAATCATTGCTAACAATAACCCCCGATTAAAATTACATAGGTGGGAGATAGGTAAACAAGTAAATACTTTTGTAAAGTTATGCTGTGTGAATGGGAACATGCACTACATATAAAGTAGATGCATAAACTAACCAATAAAAATAAATGACATTTCTTTATTGAAAGTCAGACTAAATAAATGCATTTTCTTATAGAGGAGAAGTCTGATGTGAAAAGCCTCTGCTACAGGCTTCTTGGCTTGGATGGACAGTGCCAGCATCCAATTTCTATCCGAATGACCCAACAGCTGTGTTGCTGTAGTGTGGGCAAAGCATGGGGACCTTATTGTGAAGCTTGTCCGGCAGAGAGGACAGGTAGGAATTATGCACAGTAGGTTAACACAAACAATAAACATAATTAAATCATGTTGCTCTGATTAAAAATTAAAGATAAATGTATGAGCGTTGACTATTGCTACATTTGTATTGAATGTTTTGTTGCTTTAAAAAGTACAATATTCTGAATATTTTATGTTTCTTCTTTAGCCCTATTAATTCCCTTGCATTACTTTGCAGCTTCTTTTGCAGAGATTTGCCCAGCTGGGAAAGGTTACCACATATTCAGTACTCATCACACGTTTATGATTCAGGGACAGAGTGATATCACTCTTCATTTGCAGCCAGATTTGAGTGACCAGCAGGTTCTTCCTCCAAGGACTCCTGATGTTGTCCCACCCCCAAACATATTGGAACTACCTTCACCTCAGAAGATAACGGAGCTTGATTCTTCTGATGGACAGCGTAAGTTATCATCTTCATATAGTATATCAAATGAAATCTAAAGTGTATATACAACTATTAAGAAAGAATAAACTAATAGTTGTGTCAGGGTCATTGAGGTAATTTGTTTTCAGAATAGATTATGAAAGAGCACTCAGATAATTGTTTTGCAGAATAGATTCATATTTTTGTCGAAGACTACATACAGTAGCCGTGTATATGTGTTTATACTACTTTGTTTGATGCATAAGTAGCTCTATTAAGAATTGATTTGTGGCATTACAAGTACATGAGGGATACTGACTGATATATCTGGTATGGAGTGTGAACAACATACATGTTTAATATATATTTTCTATCTTTTACAGGTGAAGTAACTGCAGCCATGGTAAGCTTCTGCAATGATGCTGTCACTAGCAAGTTTAATACATCATTGGTTGTCATTGGTAAGGGATACACTGGCAAAATACCCTCCCCATGTTGAGGGCATGTGGCCTGGTATGGTGCAGGAGAGTGGGCCGCATGTTTCCCCCCTCCACCCCCCTCCTTTCCTGCTCTGTTTTTAGGAAGGGCCCCAAGCTTTAATTGTTTTCGGGTGTTAGGGTCCCCCTTAAAACCCCTACCAGACCTGCATAGGAATTTTGGGGGGGGGGACCCCACGCTGTTTTGCTTCTTTCTTATTTTAACGTTTAACAACATTATTTCATTCCAAATGATATTCGGAAAAAATTTCAGATGCATCCGAAATTTTCATTATCAAAAATTTGGATACGTTCGGATTCATTATTTCATTCAGAAATTCAGATGCTTTTGAATGTCAGAATATGCCGATATTCGTTTGAATTTCAGTTCGGAACAAAACGAATCACACATGTCTAGAAATTGGAATTGTTCAGATTGACTGTATGAAAATGCACAATATACAGTATATTCCCATGGTCAATAAGTTTGAAGGGCTAAAAGTTAAACTTATGTGGCTCACATCCAAAGTTAAAAAGCCATAAAGAATAAGTAAGAGGTAACAATATAAGAATGAAGGAATATAACAAAAGATGTAAAAGGGAAATAAAGATTGCAAACATTTAAAATAAATGAAGAGAGTAAGACAAACCACCCAAAAAAATCTTTGAAAATATTAATAGTAAACAGATCATCTAGACCAGGGGTCAGCAACCTTAAACACTCAAAGAGCCATTTGGACCCGTTTCCCACAGAAAATAAAACACCGGGAGCCACAAAACCCTTTTGACATCTAAAATGAAGATAAGAGACTGCATATATCGTTTTTTACCTTTCTGCTATGTATAGCATGTATTTAGGTATATCCTTACCATCTTGTCTTAAATTGTATTGTAACTGTGAATGTCTTCCTTATATTGTAAAGTGCTGTGCAAACTATTGGCGCTATATACATCCTGTATAATAATAATAATGTGGGCTTAGTAACGCACTGGACTATGTGCTTAGTAACGCACTGGACTCTGGGCTTAGTAACGCTCTGGACTCTGGGCTTAGTAACGCTCTGGACTCTGGGCTTATCTGAGACCCCGCAGAGCCCACCTGAGAGTGACCCTGCAGAGCACACCATAGATCCTGCACAGCACATCTGAGACTCTCTATGGTGGGCTTTGTAGGCTGCAGAGCCCCCACAGATCCTGCTGAGACCCTGCAGTCTGCTGGATCTCAGGGGGGCTGTGCAAGATCTGTGGTGGGCTTTGCAGGCTGCAGAGCCCCCTACGGATCCTGCGAAGCCCCCCACAGATCCTGCAGAGACCCCCTGAGACCCTGCAATCTGCAGGATCTCAGAGGGGGCTGTGCAGGATCTGTGATGTGCTTTTACAGGCTGCAGAGCCCCCTATGGATCCTGAAAAGCCCCCCACAGATCCTGCAAAGCCCTCCACAGATCCTGCAGAGACACCCTGAGACCCTGCAGTCTGCAGAATCTCAGGGGGGCAGTGCAGGAGCTGTGGTGGGCTTTGCAGGCTGCAGAGCCCGCTACGGATTCTGCAACGGCATTAGGGTGCCACGCACTATGGTGGGGGCGTACAGACTGTGGGTGGGAGGTGCATTTGGGGTACCGTTGAAATGAATGGCAACACAACACACTTCCCACACTAGAATGCATGGTAGGTGCCTGGCTGCCTAAATGTTTTTAAGGTGGCGCCCTGGAATCTGCCGCCCGAGGCAAACGCCTTGATATGCACCTGGCTCTGCCACAGCACAGCAGCCCACACTGGACCCCAGGCTGAGGATCCACTCCACTTCTCGTAAGATAGGGAGACTGAGTGGACCTTAAAACTTTCTTTTTTTAAAACAAAACATTTTTTGGAGTGTGTATGTGTGTGAGATTGTGTTTGTGGTTGTGTGTGTATGTATGTATGTCAGTGTTTTTTGAGGGCCCATTCACACTGGTACAGTGTGTTAATCACATAGTACCACGCAATCGCGCCTACCGTGCATTCTAGTGTGGGTGGTTTGTTGATTTGCCAATTTGAACGGTACCCCAAATGCACCTACCACCCACAGTCTGTACGCCCCCACCGCAGTGCAAGGTACCCTAATTCCTTGCATTCCAGTGCAGTGCAACTTGGGTCGCGACTTAATGACAAAGGACAAATGTGGGTCGTGAGGTTACACAGGTTGAGAACCACTGACCTAGACCCCTTACAAGATAACTCTTTATTGGTGACTGGGGACAAGAGAATATCCAAGGTCCTGTAGCACACCTTACCGGAATTCCCATAGGCAAAAGTGGGTGCTCGCAATGACTGTGGATGGCGCCACATTTAACCACTTCAAGACCAGGTGTTTAGACCCTCTTCCTGGCCAGGCCATTTTTCAGTATTCAGCGCTGCGGTACTTTGACTGACGTTTATTCCGTCATGCAACGCTGTACTGAAATGAATTTTATACCATTTTTGGGGGACAGATAGAGCTTTCTTTTGGTGGTATTTTAAACACCACTGGGGGGTTTTATTTTTTACTATAATTAGGAAAAATTACAGAAAATTTTGTAAAAAATTTTTTTTTACATTATGTTAGGAAACATTTATTATTACCCAGTTTTTTGGTAAAATATAAAAGATCGGGTGACGTCGGATAAATGGACACCAAACATGTCAAGCTTTAAAGTTGCGCACACCTGCGAAATCGCAGAAAACTACCATACCCAAAATTGGCCATAGGCGACACTTTAAAAGCTTTTA